TTGCGGCACTCATCTTGCTTTACTGGCCAAGGGAGCCAGCATACGGCTTCCAGGTCATGTGGCCAGCATGACTAAGCCGAACCAGAGCAGCACACAGAAATGCCATTTACAATACCTTCCTGCTGGAGCGGTACCTATTTATCTACTTGCACTTTGTGCTTTTGAACTGCTAGGTTGGCAGGAGCAGGGACTGAACAACGGGAGCTCACCCCGTCGCGGGGATTCAAACCGCCGACCTTCTGATCGGCAAGCCCTAGGCTCTGTGGTTAAGACCACAGTGCCATCCATGCCCCAATTCTGTTTTAATTCAATTCAATGAAAGCCTATATCCTCCTGAATTGTCCTGATTTAGTTTGGGGTTGGGGCTTTGCCCCAATCTGGTGCATGGCCCTATTAGTTTCCTGTCAAATTTGGTTAAAATCAGTGCTGTTTTGAAATAATTAGTCTAGCATATTGATTCAAAATCTTAAGAGTTGTCCATATGCATGCAGTTTGGAACGGTTCGGTCTCTACTTGATTCAAAATGGCATCTGACGACATCCAAACATAGATTCAAACCTGATTCTCAATCTCAGGAACTATTATGCCACTAGCTGGCGTTATCTTCAGTGGTGGCACAGTTTGGAACATTTTGGTCTGCCATCTTGATTTGAAATGGCATCCAAACGTAGACAAAAAATGGTTTCTCCATCTCAGGAACCATCACAACAAATTGGGTGATGATATCTGAACAGATGTCTGAACACACTGAGAATAGATCAGCAAACCACACTTCAAAATACAAAGCAGATAGAAGGAGATACAGAAGAAAGAGTGAGGAAAAAGTAATAGATAGTACATTGGCTTTTAGCCAGAATGTTCTACAAGAAGTGCTTTTATATGCATGGGATAGTCAATGTATTTTCACAACTTAAAATGTTGGTACCTGCACCTAGGGAAAAAATAAAGAAATCACATTATAATTGTAGCAGACTCCCCAGAATAATGCAAAATGGATTTTTATCATTTTCAATGTTACCTATGACAATAAAGCAGGTAAATAAAGCTGGTAAATGAAGCTGTAACATACAAATCATAACACCAAAGGGGTTGAAGGAACACCTAGACTACTCATCAGCTTACTTACTGTTAAAATTAGCAATGTTAGCATGATAAGAAAGCAACAGACTAAAACCAATCATAATCATTGATCAAAGTACATGTCACAGAGTGTGCAGGTCAGTAATCACAGTTGAAAACTGGAGCAAAAATACGTCTGTACTAGTAAAAACATGATCTCCACAGATTTAGCTGAGTGTCATGCCTAATGAGCACAGCAGCTCATTCCCAGTAGATGTTTCTCTATGGAATCAGTTGCTGAGATTAAAGGTCCCTGCCTACCCACAGCTGGGACGTGGGTGGCACTGTGGGTTAAACCACAGAGCCTAGGACTTGCTGATTAGAAGGTCGGCGGTTCGAATCCCCGTGACGGGGTGAGCTCCTGTTGCTCGGTCCCTGCTCCTGCCAACCTAGCAGTTCGAAAGCACATCAAAGTTCAAGTAGATAAATAGGTACCACTCCAGCGGGAAGGTAAACGGTGTTTCCATGCGCTGTTCTGGTTCGCCAGAAGTGGCTTAGTCATGCTGGCCACATGACACGGAAGCTGTACGCTGGCTCCCTCAGCCAAAAAAGCGAGATGAGCGCCGCAACCCCAGAGTCGGCCACGACTGGACCTAATGGTCAGGGGTCCCTTTACCTTTACACACAGCTGTCTATATCTCCTCATCTCCAGGGCTTTCCCCAAGCAATCAGATACTGTGCCTGCATGCAGCTAATATCTCCTCTACCCTTTTCATGCCTCTCATGTTTCTGGGAGACAGGGGGAGGGGAGCTTGTCGCAGCGGGATGTCACGGATTGGCTGGATGCCAGGGAGTGGTGGGAGGCACCAGCTGGGGAACCCCCAAGGGAATTCCCAGGGGAAGAAGGCTCAGAGCCCCCTGGTGGGACAGCAACGAATGGCCAGAGACAGAAGAGGAAGCAGACTGGGAGGTGGTGGTGCTGGAAGCTGAAAAGGTACCAGCATTTAGTGAGCAGAAAGTGGCTGTGGAAGAGGGCAGTCTAGACTCAAAGGCTGGAAAGGAGTGAGACTGAAGAAGCCAGGGAATTTCCCCCTCCTACTGTGACCAGCTCCCCTCCCCCAGGTCACCCAGAACACAAAGAGGAATGAAGAGAGTGGAGCAAAGAAAGACAAGACGAAGGAGCCTCAGCTTGCTGGGGGGAGGACCACTTTAGAGCAGTGGGAAAGTGGAGACCTTCAGTCCTCTCAACCATCTCATTGGAGCAAGTTTCTGTGATTACTAGGCCTGAGCTGTCTTGGGTTTTTTGAATAGAAATTCAACTTCACTGACACTGGGTGTTTTATTGCTGACCTGCTCCTGACACGGGAGGAGGAGAAGCCCATGACTCTTCACCACCCTAACCCACCTCTGCCTCTTGGTCTCTCTCCCCCCACCCTCCTCCTTCAGCCTCTGAGTCCAGTTCTTGACTTCTCTGCCACAGACTCTCCCAGCTTACTAAGCACGATTACCTCCTCAGCTTACCTCCAACAATCTTCTCCCTCTGACCACTCATTGTGGAGAGCCAGTGTGGTGTAGTGGTTAAGAGCGGTAGTCTTGTAATCTGGGGAACCGGGTTCACGTCTCTGCTCCTCCACATGCAGCTGCTGGGTGACCTTGGGCCAGTCACACTTCTCTGAAGTCTCTCAGCCCCACTCACCTCACAGAGTGTTTGTTGTGGGGGAGGAAGGGAAAGGAGAATGCTAGCCGCTTTGAGACTCCTGAAGGGGAGTGAAAGGCGGGATATCAAATCCAAACTCTTCTTCTTCTTCATTGTCATCTCACCACCAATCCCCAGGCTCTGAGCCTTCTTCCCTTGGTGATTCCCCAGCTGATTCCTTCCACCATTCCTCTGTGTCCAAAAAGTCCATAACAGTAGGAGATATGCCGGCTTTAATTTACAAAGCACACTTGCACAATATTATTCCTCCCTTGTGTTTGTCACTACATTGCTTATGTGCATTAAATGGTTCCTATATTTGCTCTCTAGGAAATAATGCAGTGCTTAATTTTAAGAGAGACCTGTCTGGTTAAGATAATTTAAAAGATGCAGCAGCAGGGCATGATTCATAATTTTTTACTTGGCTTTTTAAATACTAAACTAAGTAGAAAAAGTCCTGCTATGTTTGTTGTTGTAAATACACCAACGGAAAACAGCAGCTCATAAAGAACTCCCAGCAGGTGTGCTGTAAGCCATCACAGAAACATCAGCTTAAATTATGAACGCCACTCTTGAAAACATGCATCTCAACATATTGTTAATCTTTGTATTGCTTAACAATTTACACCACATTGTTACTGGACCTTAAAAGAGCAGAGGAAAATTTAGCCACAGTAGCCTACAGAAATTGCGCATCAGTGGCACAGAATAAATGTGTGTTTTTTAAATAGTAAAGCCATATTATTATCATTATTATTTGATGTTATGTGCAAGAAGTGGACAGGTAAATCTAAAAGGAAAAGGTGCCCTGATGCACTGGAGGAAGAGAGCAGAGTGGTGAGAGCAGGAGCTCAAGGCTAACCACAGTTCATCTTCGTAACGCAAAAACGTCCAGTGGGTCAGAGTGGTAGAACAAGCTCTGAGCTTGCACAGACTGCTCTTACTGAAATCATATAACCATAGAATTGTAGAGTTAAATGTGTGTTAGAAACTCAGATATATAGGCTAGGCGCCGGATGGCTCCTTAAACCAGGGTTGCAGTCGCCAAACAGAACGCCTAGTTGCCATTTTGGGGGCAGACAACTCAAAAGTTGTATTTTTCCAATATGACTTTTTGGTTCCTGCAATTCATTTTGATTGTGCAGATAAAATATAATGGATAGAATTCTACAAGTTGTGTTGCTAGTATGTGAAAACAGTCAAGAGCCAGGGATCCCCAGGCATGCACCTTCAGATGGTGGAGACGCCAAGCACCATCCTGGTGCCTGGCATCTTCACTTGGTTGCAAGTGGCTGATAGCCAGGTACAAAATGCGCCTGGCAAATTTCAAATGCTGGTTGGTAGGGACCCTGAGGGTCATCTAGTCCAATCCTGTGCAATGCAAGAATCCTTAGCATTACACTTGCCATCATAAAAAGGTAGGGACATTATGGCTGCAACCCTATCAAAAACTTACCCAAGAACAGCCTCACTGAACTCAACCGGACTTCTGTATTGGATTACACTGTTCAGAAATTGTCACAAAAAATATTTTTATACTTTGCTGCCGAAATGTGAGATAAACACCAATAAGAATAAGAGAGATCCCACCACCACCGACATCCCTGCTTTGCCACAGCTGTATCAGAACAAAACGAACTGCTGGTGTTTTAGGGTCACTTCAGGAACAGATGGGGGAGGGGGGAAAGAGATAAAAGAACTTCAAAAATAATAATGGGTTTTATTTTGCAGTATCAAAGAAAAGAAGATATAAAAGAGTGGAGGAAGTGCATTAATTATTGTCCCCAGAGTAGATATATTAATTATCAAGAAAGACTCAGCTAAAACGCGAAAGACAAAGCTGATAGGGTAACAGCAGACAAAACATGTCAAATGATTAAAAAAAATAGACAGATTAGATTAGGCTGGTACAGTCTTTTTCACTGACACACAGTCTTCTAGCAAAGCAAGTGAACATGTTCCTAGACAAGCAAGTGAGCGTATTACACAAGGACCTAAGCAAACTACAAAACGATCAAAGGCTGCTTCAATATCATAATGTATAACTATAATGGGGAAGTAGACAAGATGATAAAAAGAAGCAGATGGCTTTGAAATGCAAGTCAGGGAAGGGGGAAATGACAGGCTCGTCGAATTTTCAAATAAGGACTTGAGATAATAGTGCTTCTTTTCACAAGAGCAACTTAGAAAGCAAACATGAAATTGTGAGGGGGTTTTTGGTGGTTGTGTTTTTTTTTAGCTTTTTGAGAAACCAAGCTACTAGGAGACTTTACAAAAAACCCAGACTGTTTTGTGAAGACAGGTACAGTAGAACAGAGACAGGTTAGCATTAAATGGAGCGCAAGAGGAAGTTGGGCTGTTAAAGGAACTGGGGTAAGATGGCTTTTTCTAGAAACGAGGGAGAAAAGACAGGAGATGTTGATCTGAGCTGTGGGACAGCCAATGCTGTACTAAATTCTGAGGCTTGCTCAGAAAGCAAAATATAGAGCACCTCCAGATGTGTCTGGAATACAACTCCCATTATCCCTAACCAGTGGACATGCCTGCTTGGGGCTGTGGGGAGTTGCAGTTCAACATCTGGAGGACAACAACTTCCTCACTCCTGAAGTAAAAACTATTGATAATATGGTGACGGCAACAGGAAAAGCAAGTCTTCCTTAACTTGGTGCCTGTTAGCCTACAATTCTCAACATCCTTGAATTGGCCACACTGCCTAGAACAGATGGGACCTAAGTTCGAAACATCTGGAGGGCACCAAGTTGGGGAAGACTGGGATAAGCACCTTGGGGAAGGTTCTTTTTCAAATTTGCAAGTAAATTAAGCCTGGTGTTTGAGGCATGTTCAGTTCCTGATAAAATCCTTTGCAAGAGTACTTAAACGTAATAAAGGCTGTAATCCTATGCATACTTACAACGGAGTAAATCCCATTGAACTCAGTGGGACTTAGTTTCTGAGTAAGTAGGGTGCTTTCAGTTGTGTTTCAGGTATGAAACATCAGTGCAAAGTTTATGTTTTCTAAAGCAGCTTTTCAATTTCATGGCTATTCAACTGCCCACAGTGCATGGCCCAAGGATGCTGATCTGACCGGGTTACATATTTATTTTCATTTCCCCTTGTCAATAAGTTCCATAAATTTTCATAGCCGCTTCAATGATTACAAACTTTGCACACTGTAATTAGTGATAAAACATAGTGATTGGGTTACTAACTGGGGCCAGTTATACCAAAATATATCTTGCCAATTCTTAAAATTACAGTGGCTACCAGCTCGTTTCCAGGTCCAACTCGAAGTACCAAATGACTAAATGATACCACCAGCATCTGAAACTGGACAGCTGCGACCAGGGAGAGGGTATTTTTCAGGTGTGCCTAAAAAGCTCACCTGGTGCTTGCTGTTCTGATGTCAGGCTGCCAGTAGCTGCTAGCCACTGCCCCATGTGGTGAGCCACTTAACTGCAACCTCTCAAGAAATAACCTTCTGGAAATGGCCAATCTCCACCTATCTAGGCTGTCCATTGGCTCCTCCTAAACAGCTGCTGTTTGTTCTTCAGTCCTAACTCCTGCCTTCAGTGATGACCTAAGCAGTAAATGTCTGGTTTTGGAAGGTAGATGGAAAGAGATGGAAATAAGGAATGGCTCATTGATGGGCTATTGAAGAACCTCATACATTCAGTAAAATCTGGACAAGTAGTATATTTCTTCTTTCTTTCTTTGATGGAAAGGTGAAGTTCCACCATACTTTCAACTAACTCATGCATGTTCAATTAAAAAAAACACAAAAAACCCAGTCACTCTCGTAAGTCTTTTTCTCTTTGAACTATAACTAATAGACTTTATTTTGTTTAGAAGTGTTTTGGTTTGGAGAGGCGTACGAGGGATCAAAGAAGTTATCTTCATTATAACTGGAGGGTTTTGTCCATTTTGCTGCTGGTGGGGCTTCTTTCTGCACAGCTAGGCAGGATAACTTTTTCTTCTATTTTTAGAGCAGGGGTAAGAAAATATGAGAGCCTAGGGAAGACTGCATGGCTCTGAACATTAGAAAGATCAGAGGCAGGCCCAGCAGCAGAACTAGAAAAACCTGTTCACAGCATGAACTACCATGCCAGAAATTCCCTGAAAACTTAAACAGCAAACCCCTATTGTCATTTTCAAAACAAGAAGCCTAAAAACAGTGACAAAGGGAACCCAAGATCATGTGGACCTGTGAACCACTGGTATAAAATTGCAGAAATATTTATGAAGATGTTTTGACATCAGACAACAAAAAATAATAGATTTCAAGTCCAATCAAGGGAATAATTCTGTCCTTGAATCATGATTTTGTATAATACACCATCTCCATATATGATGAACCAAGCTGCTAAATATGCAGAAGCAATCTGCCACTGTATAAGGAGGTCATTGATTATAAGAAAGCATTTGATTTAAATACAGAGAATTATTCCAATGACTCAAAGTGTATGTCACCGAACAGCCCCTAAAATAAACACGAAATGAGGCTCTTCCATGCATTACAAGTAAAGGGAAAAATTACTAGGATGCAAAATACAAGAGGCTAAGTAAGTGTGTGTGTGTCTGTGCGCACACATGTATTCCTTAATTTAACACATTTCAAAGTAAAATAGGAAACACCATATCTATCTGAAGGTCAGATCTATTTTTCCAAGACAGCAACGTAAGGATACTGAAAATAAAATATATCTGTGTGTGTTTATATCTTTTATATATACATATATTTACATACTATCCATTCTATTTTGAGTAACTTTATATCATTGTCTTAGGGAAATAGATCTGGCCTTCAGGTAGATAACATCTTGTTTTATACAGGTGTTATGTGTATAATATATATAAACACACAAAATGAACCTAGCAATATACACCTGAAAATTGGCAGGATCCGGATCTTTTCCTCCATATCTACAGCAAACACATGGAGGATCATAGGAGCCAATTCCTAGGGGCTGAGGGGGCTTGGCCTTCGCATTAAAATATTTGAGCCCCCCCCCAAAAAAATTTGATGGGCACTGCCATTCAAATGGTGCACGTGCACTGTGTCATGTGGTTATGTGGGGCGGGGCTTACCTGCCCCCCAAATTTTATTCAAGTTGGCACCCCTTGTGGAGGATGGAGCAGAATTCAAGTCATTCAACCTGCACGCGACATCATTGTGTCAACTGGCCACACCCTCTGGGAGCTACCCATTCTGCATTAGTGTGCAGGAGTCCTATGTGCCTGCAGATGGATGCATGAGTTCCTGCTCAGGAAGAGGTGTCCCACGTGTTTAGGCCCCCTTCCCACTAATGCCAAATCCAAGGCTGCCTCCATACAACCGCTGTACACAAAGAGGACACCTTCAGGCTGAGGCTCAATTAGAGGCAGTTCACAGATATAGCAGTGCCAAGTTCTCTCCGTGTTATATTCTCCAGGGTTGAGCATGGCCACAACAACCACCTCAATTAATTAATCTAGTTAGTTCATCGCTTCCTACAAAGGAAAGTGACAAAGCGACTTACAACTCGCCACAAATACATAATTTTAAAACAATATCAACACACTGAAATTCAGACACAATAGAGATTGCTCTTTGAGAATCACAGTGTGCGCATAAACATCCAGGGGTGATTATAGTCATTCCCTCCATATCAAGCTGTGTACAGACAATAGCCCAGATGAGTTACTTTTGGCTGAGAAGTGCATATGGTTCACGCTGTATTGTTTCCTTTGCAATTTGCCTGCTGGCCCCTATCCAGCATTTTCAAAGATTTCTCAAGGAGAAGATAATGCAAGCTTTGAGACTGTCTGCATGCTCACTTTGAGCGCCTCTGGAAGCATCAGCTCTTCTTCCACCTTCCAACTTCTTAATGTGGAATGGGAATGTGCTGGAAACCTACAGGGCCAACTCTGTTATTTATGTGTTAATTCAGCTTGATGCCCTAGTTTTGCAATGCTCTTGAACAGGGTAGAATGCATTTGGAGTAGTTGATTTAACTTGTCAGGTTGAATGGTATGTAACATGTGTATCAGTTCTAATTCAGTTGTTGCAAAGTAGGGTGACTTATTGTGACTTTGTCTATAAGGTTATTCAACTAAGCATTGCTGAATGAAACATGAATGTGAACTTGCAGAGTGCCCTAGGTATTTATTTTAAGTGTTTCTGAGTTTCTGATGCTTGTACCAGTAAGAGGCTTTGCAGTCAACAACCGCCTTTCAATTCCAAACCCTCTAAACAACACAGCAGTTCACTCTACAAAGGATTCCTATGTCCTACCTGTGAAGGAATACTTGACATCTACAGGGGGTATCATGTTTGTGACACACACACACACACACACACACACGTTTGCTTTTTTGCTTATTTATTAAATTTATACCCTGCTTTTCCATGGGAATATGCCCAAAGCAGCTAACTGCAAAAAAATGAATACAGAGAGACAATGGTGTATCTAAATATAAAAGCGAAGCTGATAAAAAGCTGTCAATAAAACAGCATCCCATTAAAACCAACTTAAAATAGGCAGCAAATATTGTACTTACTGTATGTTGCCTATGTTATGGAGTGACAATGACAACTACTACAAATAATCATAATAACAATACAGATCAAGCTGGACACGTCAAGCACCTAGTTTAAATTAGAACAGGGGACAAATTTGCTTTGGTTCGCATTTTGAATACAAACCTACATAATTCACACTTCCTGAAACAATAAATCAAAATGCAGCAATCCTTTGAAATCCACATTTTCTGAAATTTTCTCCAACCGAAAAATGTAAATATTGGGAGAAAGTCCATATATTAGTAAAACTATTTATAAAATAAATGTACGCAGTTGGAGGAAACTGCTTGCAAAAACCACATGCAAAAATGTGTATATCGGAAGAAAAGGGTACTAAAATGCTAATGAATTTTCATGAGGGCTCGTTTCTTAAAATTCACAAACTGCTGCAGGAATTGGATGAATTGGTGAATGGAAGAATGAGAATCTGAGAGAACGGAGAGATTTGTCTATCCCTAGTTTAAATAAAAAGGTATTTATCTGCTGGTAAAAAAAGTCATCGGAGAGAGAGGAATATAGGCCTCCCTTGGAAGCAAGTTCGAGTTGAGGAGCAGTCACTGAGAAAGCCCTTTTACAAAAGCCTGGATAAGTTCCATGATGCTATTTACATTTTTCTTTTCTTTTATCTGTGCCATTTATAAGAGAAGGATGAAGGAAATGGCAGAAAAAGACAAACTGTGATCAAATTGTGGCCATGATAATCTTATTTTCACGTTGTAGAAGTTATAACACCATTAGTGATAGCTCAGAAGATCATTATGTACTTCTGGTGGAAATTCAAAAGCACAGACGTGTAATGTACATTTCATATAAATGAAGTAAAAAAAGAATTGTATTATGTTTAGACCCACTTTTATATATCCGTAAAAACAACACAGATGCACTAAAAGGGTTGCCAAGCATGTGTTAAGATTCATGGATGGCGCTACCACGAGGCAGGGTGTGTTTACCTCAGGAGGCAATTCAGGACATTGTCACCTTGTTCCACTTCGAACTATCGCATGTGTGGCAAAGCCAAAACGTGAAACTAGGAGATAGGAAAGTGGAACGTTGCGCCAAGAGCTTCCAAGATGCTAATTTCTTTTCAAGTTGCGTGAACAAAGCCACAATAGTTCCAGAGGCTGAAATCCCAAAGTTCCTTTATTATGTCAAACCGGAGCTTGTCTTGTAAACTTTCAATAAGCCCCTGTGGGATATTTGAACTTTAATGTTTTATTGCTATACGAGTGGACTATTTATCTTAACAAGCAGTACATTGCTGTTTAACCCCCTCCCCACTTTTTAATAACTTCTCATATTAAGCAAATTCACTTTTTATCTATGATGTTTATTTTTCTAGGAAGTTCATCTATTTAAAAGTATTTTCTCAGGGAGTTCAATTTAGCTTTGCCTTTCGAATTAACACTGAACGTATTTTACCTTTTGCAGGAGAAATTAACTATTATTCAAACAATTAGGCCCGAGCAGATTCTTCACCCCATCACTTTGAAGACATTCCCCCTTTTTACTTGTTATCCTAGACCACTACTTTACACAATATTCTCATCTCCTCTGCTCCCGGGCTATTCTACATCTACCTGTACAACTTCATTCTTTCATATATAATTTTAAAGTAGTCTAGAACAGTCCCATTAATCGTAGCAGGCCTGCTTAAGGTAAGATAGCAGTCGAGTGTGACCAAAACAACTACCATGAACCTTAGAAATGTGGTGTTACCTGCATCAATAAATAGGTGGGTGCCCACTAAATATTGCCTGGCTAATTAAGAATGGGTGGGCTGAAAGTCTGTTGAATGGGGAGACACACAATAACATGTCTGGTTGTGCCAAGGAGGATTTTAAACCTCATTGAGGAATTAGTTTGTGATCAGGACCTGGCCTATACAAGCAGAGGAATGGGTGGGGGGGGGGTAGAATAGATATTTGGTGTGCCCACCACTGTTTTTCAATATTCCCCTATATTTTTTAAAAAACTGCAAGTAAATAATTAGATAATCAAGTTTGGTGGAATTTTCAAGGTTAGCGGACCCCCTGTTTTTCAAAAGCCAAGCCATGGACTCCCTACTTTTGAAAATTTTGATAACTCTATGGTAGTTTTTGTTATGTGAATGGTGCCACAAACTCTGGGTGGGTTACATAGACCCCACCACCAATTGGGAACCACTGCTCTAAGGGATGCCACTGGGAGGGATGAAAGGAAACAAATTTTACAACAGATACATGTAACACTTCTGTATATGCCTAATTTTCTTTATACTTATTCTGGGCATTTGCAAAAACTGGGTTTTTTTAGAAGCACAATTATTCAGTCTCATAGTGTATTCCCCTTTTGTGGGCGGTCAAAAGAATGTGTCACCCAAAATACCTAGATTATCAGGCTATTTCCTTGATATGTATAAGGTGTGTCTGTGTAGACATTCTGAATTTGTAGAATTGGGCATTTCGTATTTAGTAGGTCCTATACTTACAAAACTAGTAATTCTCAGTTGTCGGGGGATGTCACCAGCTTCTCATAAATTAAACAGTCGTTTTGTATTTGCCTTCAGTTCCATAGGCTTCAAAACAGTGTTGTTATGGCATTTTTCATAGTCAAACACCATAGGATAGCCTGAAAGGAGACTAAAGAAATGACAATGCAATGTTAAACAAAGCACCCACCCACACAAAATCAAAGACCTCCACCAAGTCTTGCATATGCAAGACACAAAGTCATTTTGATGCATTATGAATCACCTGTTAGAAATAAATAAATAAGTGAAGACAAATTCGGCTTTTTGGTAAATATTTATAGAGCCAAACAATAGAAGGATGTGTAACAATCAAATTCCTGGTGAAAATGTGTGCAAGTGGGTTTATTTTAAAAGGAAAATTCCTACTCCCAGTGTCACACCCAATTAAATTCTCCGGGTAATGACCCCATTTGCATAGAGAACAGAACCCACAAGTGGGAATTTTAATGGGCACACCACCTGAGTACATTAATTGAGAGTGACACTACTTGAACTAGTTTTGTGCTTACCCCACTGAAAATTCTACTCATATTATTTTTAATGTCAAGCTACAAGTCAAATTTCAAGATGATGGACTTGTTCTTTTTTAAGCATTGAATTTGAATAAAAGAATGTTTTAATTCTATTATGCATTTCACAGCTTTGCTTTAAGTAATCGGTACTTCTGATTCTCACCACTGCTTCATTCTTTTGCTAGTGATTGGAATTTAATTTTCTTCATTAATTTGTGAATAATTACATACAAAATAATGCCTTTCAGCAGCTAAATTGCTTTTGGATTGCTCCTTAATATATTTTTAGCAAGAAAGTGCGCTACAGTTAAACTGGCATAATAGTTTACCAAAATGTAATTGTGTAAATATAGTTAATTAATATTTCTTTTGTAAGAAAACCGAATATAAATATTCAACTATAGGTGTGCCTCCTTTCACTTATACTCAAGCCCAGTGAAGACAGTCGCCCTCAACCAAACCAGAGATCTCACTTACCAACTATTTGATTTCTTCTGCTACAGACAGCGCTCATGACCTTGAAGGTTATTGTAGATTATGAGCCATCACTTGAAACCTATTATGTAATCAAGGAGTCTTGCTTTCACATCACAGAACAGACATATTGAGAGTTATATTTTATAGGTACACTGGCAAAACCATATTGTTTAATCATAATTCACTTTACATTAAAAAGAGCAATCCTCAAAATGCAGCGCCAATATAATCCTGAAGAAAATTAATGGGCTGTGTGCTAGTGGAGCAGTTTAAGGATTGGAGCTTCATTTTGCCAGTTTCTTCCTAATACACTTCGATGGATGTAACAGACTACATGATTTCCCAACATTAAGAAAAATGTACTGATCTTCCTCTAGGAACAAGATTGTCAACTTACGAGGTTGTATATGGCTTGGCTCAAACTGAAATTTTCTAGCTCCCATCGATTGGAGATTAGTGAAAGTTTATGTCTGGAAAGGACACACAAATTATATGTTCATGTATCAGTCATTTTGTGCAAAAGTTAAGCAGTATAGTTAGATATTGTGAATATAATTATATGTTTTATGCTGCAAGTCTATTTTCACTTACTTGGGAATAAGCCCCACTGAACTCAGTGGGACTTAGTTCAGAGTAGACATGTATAGCATTGCATTGCTAACATTCCTAAATGTCACCTCTTTAGAAGATGGGTCTTTAATGTGGGCCATTTACTTCACCTGACTTCAACCAAGTTAACTGAAAGATGAGTATTCACTCATGAATTGTTGTA